CAGGAATCTTTTACATCATTATTTATGTTAATTTGAACGAGAGCTCTTGATTGTATAGCATTGATTTTCCTGTGTAGAGCCAAAGCACGCATAGCTGCATAGCCTAGCAATTCCTTCCCACATATGCACTGGAGCTGGGAAATAATAGAAAGAGAACTTAGAGAAAGAAATAATAAAATATATCTGGTCCGTTACTCATCAGTTGCCACTACTCTCACTTTATTGTGAACCTCAGGCCTCCAGGCAATACAAGCAAAGGAAAGGGGAAAAACTGTAGTCTTATTTTGCTCTACCAAGTTTTGTCATCTAAATAGTAAAGTTCATTTTGGCCATGCTAATGCATCTTCAGTTTCACAGCCAGTCTCATGTCAAAGGCAGAATGCCAATTCAGCTGTGTATGCTGACAAGCAACATTTAATGAGCACTGAGATGCAAATAGTGCAGAATATCAATAAACTCAGGCAGGTGCTGTTTAAGACTCTCAGTACACCAGATGTGAATTTAGGGAAAGGTCCAATTCAACACTAAGCTACCCAAGAGACCCCAAATGAAACTGAGATGTATAAAATTCTTTTGAGTTACCTATGCAACACACTTAATTCTACTGAATGAAAAAAAAAAAAAAAGCAGAATTGACTTTGTGTATTCACTGTGAAATATTTAATCTAAAAAGATAAAATAAATATTTCAAATGTCTTAGCGCAAGGCTTTATATTAAGTTATTAAACTATCGGGCACGTGCATGTAGTCTGTACATGGTAATACAGCTGAGTATATTGCTACAGTGAAATATACTCCTAACTTTTGACTTTTGTGGAATACTCTTGATTTTGTCTTTCAGACCGTTCTCTCCAGTTTGAACCAAACCTTATAGCACAGTTTTCCTGTTTACATTTTCTGTTTATCAGCAGTCTCGATCTCTGGCCAGGTGGCCATTCCTGATTGTGTGTCAGTTTTCACACTGTAGATACGGAGTAACCTGGGTCCCATCTGTCACATAATCAATCACATCGTAAGATGTGTAAAAAAAAAAAAAAGTACACTTCACATTTTAGTGCTCGAAGTAGTTATTAATTTTTTTTCCCAAACTGTAATTTATCATGAACATCTTCTGCTTGTACAGCTCAGTATCATTTTAGTGCATGTTAACAGGACAAGTTTTAGCATTTCTGTGTGTAATTTACATTAATAGAATTGTATTATATATCACCTTTTATCCCTGTGCTTCAACACATTTCAAATGGTGGCTGTGTCACTGTATATGACAGAAAGATGAAGTTACTCAACCACATTGCTAGGAATAACTGTGAAAGGGCTTTAAAGAGCACCCAAAATTTCTCCCTCTTTCTCTACTGCCCTTGTAAGAACATCCTGCCACTCAGTGTGGAGCTGGGAGCTGCTTTTAAATGGAGACTTTTAAGACAAGCAGCCTGCTGTTATTAGAGAAGCAATCTTAGGAAAGGCATTGCCTGGATGTCGTGAAGGAACACTATTACACTCTTTTGCCTTCTCCTGAGAATGTATCAGTGATACACAGAATCTGATACTTCTACCAATGTGATGGATAACAGCTTACAGCAGCAGGAGCAAACATTTAGCATCACAGAAGTGCAATGGCCTGTGTTGTGCTTTCCTTTTAAGTTTCAGGGATTTGAACAAATGCTGGCTTTTTTTTTTTTTTTTTTTTTTTGACATACAGAGAACAGTACATTGAGCTCCCTAGGAAAGAGAAGTTTACTATTAATACAGCAGTGACAGCTTGTTCATGGATGAAGCACATCCCTATATGGTAGAAAACTCAAAATCCCCGTTGACTCTAATGAAGATGTCACAAACACATAAGTTCAACAGGCTTCCACGTGATCAGGTCTTTGGGCCATCTCTTCCCACCGTTCTTCCCCAAAACATCTGGTGTCATACAAAATGAAAGTGTACAGGATGGCAGGGAGGAGCCCAGGACATTAAAAGAATCACTAATATAGCTTTGGAGAGAATTTCCTTGTTGTCAAGATTTAGACCCCAGCAATGAACTGCTGCACTCTACCTATACACACAACAATCAGTTATTAAGTGTGATATATACTTTTCTCTGTTTTCTAGTCAAAACAAAATGAAATGCATGTTTGCCCTATGTATTCCTTTACACTGTTGTAGCTCTTTTAGGATTCAAAAAGTGTATTTTTTTTTCCTTTGTTTACTCAGGGGATGCTGATGGAGAGCTAATAGCTAGACTTTGTGGTCAGGCTGCACCATCTGTGCCGCTAGTCATAGCTGCCCCCCAGATCTGGGTACACTTCATAAGCGATGAAAACACAGAAGATAAAGGATTCTTGGCCCATTACACGTTTGAAGGTAAATGGCTTGATAGACTGTAGCCCTTGCTGACTGAGGCTCTTCTGGGGATTGCTGCCATTCATTTGGTGATACTGAGAATACACACTATGGGATCAGCTCTCAAAGAGGTCCTCAAAAGTTACACAGTGCCTGCCACTATTTATATCCATCTAAAGCAAACATATGCTAGCAATTGAACTTTCAGATTTATTTTGTGCCTCACTGTTCCCATTCCCTGAACCGCATTTGAGGTTTTGCAATGCAGCGCAACACTCAGAACAGCTGGTTGCTCTTGGGAATAGGGATGTAACAGGTAACACCAGCCAAGTTTGACTTACTTCAGATAGGCCTCCAGAGTGCTAGCATGGCTGAAATGCATTCTGCTGCTTGAACCTTTGCACTCATTTTGAAATCCACTTAAAGCTGTATCAGTGCAAATTACAGCACTTTGCCATTTACATGCCAGCACAACTATTCTTCCTGTCACAGCTGAATTTGGTCTTGGTGCTTATCTATACACATCAGTAAGTTTTTGACTTGATTGCGTTGGTCCAAGAATGACACTGGTTTGCTTAGGAGTCAGAGATAAATAAATGGAAGATAAGGTGGAAGAGGCAGCTGTAAGTGTCAGCTGGCAAAGGTTTTGCAGAGCTATGTTAAGTGTTGGAATAAATACAAAGTTTCAAGGTCATTGCATCGGTTTACTCACTGTTGAATGACAAAGATTTTAAAACTTGTCTTTTCCCAGATAAATTCTTCATCCTTACCTATATCAGTCCAACATATTTTGATACTATTACAAGCTGAATAATCTTCCACTCATTTAATTATAGTGTTCAGTACTTAAAATGTATCAAAATGTTACTTTTTTTCTTCAGCCTGTGGTGGTATACAGTCAGGTGAAAGGGGAGTTATCTCTAGTCCTAACTACCCAGAGCCTTACAGCAACCTGAATCGCTGCTCCTGGTTGTTGGAAGCCCCTGAAGGTGAAACCATCACTGTGAGTAACACCGTGTCATGATTGTGTGCACAGCTGGCAGTGTGAGAAGTACCCTCTGAGTCTTGAGGAACAGGTTTGAGACAATTTGGAAAACTGGAATGAAATACCTCCCCATTGGTCTTACCTAAGAAACAGGGGGAAACAAAGAGAACACAACCAAAGGAGACTGTGCTTTTTGAAAAGCAGATGGATCCTAGTCTAACTTGACCTCAAAACATAGCACCAACTCCTCCTTTAAACAATTACTTTCTGTGTTTAGGAAACTAAAATAGCTCATGTTATCAGATGTGCATGGATATTCTCACTAACATGAGAATAAACATGAGGGTGAAGTTTTTTCATCTCTGCAGAAAAGTTAGAAGCCACTAGAAAGTTACTTTTGTGTCTTAATGGTTAGTTTGGGAGATAATATGGTTGCCGGTACAAATTGCGTCAATGGGATGCCACTCTTATTTCCCCATAACTATTAATGGGCTTCCTGAGGTGCTACTTTCTTGAGCTAAATTGCTGAGAGACCAGTTTAAGCACCTTTATGGTCAAGCAGTCCTAAACTTCACTCACTGACTTATTTGACCCTTTGGAGAACAGGTGCAATCAGTGACATTTGCAGTCCAGGTCAGAAAAATATCTGAAAAGCAATTTTGTAAAAACATATTTCAGATTTTCATATGTAATGTCTTTCACTAGTTTCGCTATCATGTTTTCCTTATTTACAACTACAAAGGTATTTCTTAGAAATGCAAACCCATAATCCTAATTTTTCTGCTGCATGATATTCTGACCACTGCCTAGGTACTTACTTCAGGGAATACAAGATTATTTTAGTAGAACACAAAATTTCTAGTTAATTCACAAATTTGTTTAAGCAGAACTAATCTTAATCAGATGGAAGTAGATTTCTATTTTGAAAGGACTGAGTAGCAGCCCCCCTCAGTGAAGGCAGACTAACATTTTCCAGTATAAGCTGTCAGTTTGCAGTATAAGCTGGTAAAGTTCCACACTTAAACCATTTGAGCTAAATTTGTATTTGGCCTTTGCCTCAGGCAGAGTTCTTTTGGAAATGAATACACACAAAAGTTACAGGAAGAAATACTGTAGTACTAGTGCTAAACTTTACCGCAAAGATCCTAATCCTGGAACTGGTGAAAAAAAACTTATTGGAAGAGGGCCAGGCAGTCATTAGTGTTCATCAATATTTCAACATCAACAAATCCAGAAGTCTACTGGATCAGCAATCTAAATCTTTGAACTGGAAATCCCACCCATGTGCATACCACTCCAAGGACAAAGCATCATGTGGGAGGGAGACGGTCAGAAGCTGCCTGCCCAGCCCAGTCTGCATCTAGGCCCATAGGAACCAACCATGCAACTGTTTTACTCAGATTTAATGGAAACTAGCATTAATTTTAGCAGCTGCTAAGTATTCTGATTCAAAATAATAGGAAAAAAAAAATCCAAGGCTTTCTGCTTACATAGCTATTTATATTTGAACGTGGAACTTTAGATTTCATGACCAGAAGCCTTGGGAGCAGGAAGGTGGTTCAACACCTGCACATATTCAAGACCGTTTTGAAGCACATGCTTCAACCATATGGTTAAGTCTCAATAACACCAGTTTTGAACCTGTGCATTCCTCTTCCATTCCTGTCTTCATGATAAGTAGCTGCTGTTACTTATAGTGGGAAGACTCTAAGCAATGCTTGCAGGAAAACATCAAGGTGAAGTGAGGGTTGGATTTCTGGTCGTACCCAGAAATTATTGTGCTAGGATGGCTATGGAATCTGGCTGTAATTGCTCTAACCCCTCCACTGGTGTGGCTGATGTTAGCTCCTGAATGTCACTTTTCTGTGTTGCAGCTTGCTTTTACAGCTTTCCACGTTGAAAACCATTCACTTTGTAAGTGGGACTCTGTTACTATCCTGAATGGTGGCTCTCCTGGGTCTCCTGTCATAGGAAAGTATTGTGGAAACACATCCCCTGGGACTATTCGGTCTGGTTCCAGCAAACTAGTTGTCATCTTTAACTCTGATCACTCAATTCAAGGAGGTGGTTTTTATGCAACATGGACGGCAGAATCCCTAGGTAAGAGAAAAAACAGTGATTTTTTTCAGGTCCAACACAGCAAATCATGCCTATATAGCACTTTTCAACGACAAAATGAAATAGGATTCTTCCTGTTTAATTAAGTTTGCATTAAAGAACAAAAAAATACATGCCAACATCTTCAGCATTCCTGAGAGAAGCCAGCACTAAAAAAGTCAAGTATTAAACCAGTGTTGTCTGATTTCACACAATGAAATCAAATTTGGACTGATTTTGTGCTTTTTAAGACTCCCACTAGCAGCTTCTTGATGTGTGTAAATTGTTAACATGTCCATTATCCTCACAGCAGCGGTGTCTATTATCAGTGACTATAAGACATTTCATTTCTTGAATAACAATTGTTTCAATTTGATTTGGTTTAAACAAAACTAGAAAGAGGTCAGTTTCAAAACACAGAGGTGGACAGAACTTCTCAAAGAGCACATGTGACAACAGCCTAAAACTCTTCCACTTTTGAAAGTGGTACACATGCAGGATTGAATTAGTACATTCTGAAAACCTACCTTCCCTCTGTTGAAATTATCATCCTTCTGGATTAAAAAACTAAACGTAGCTCACCATTTGCACACTGTCCTTCAGGAGGTGACTAAAGGCAAGTATAGATGTGCTGGCTGGTGGCAGGGCAGAATTCATTGTGTCTTCCTACCTCAGTATAGAGCTGGCAATGTGTCCCCTAGTGTCACCTCCAGCTGCAAACTGTCTGGCTGATGCTCATCAGCTTTTCATCAGTTAATGATCTGTCAGTATTCACACAGTGAGTTGATGGAGTGTCTTCTCAAACACATCAGTAGTCTGTGCTTGCATGAATATACACTGTCACTTATGCAGGTTTTTGACACTGTTCCCTGTTGTCACTGGGATTTCATGTGCAAGGAAGGCCACTCTTCAATGATGCAGTAGACACTAGCATACACATGCAATGTGCATAGTCAGTATTCTCTCTGTGAAAGGAGATTTCATTTTTTATATATCTGGTTTCTTTTCCTCAGCTTTCTTCTCATTTGTCCACTGAGAATCTCTGGGTTTAACCATTCTGGATGTACAAGCAAAACTTGGCCTCATATCCTTCTAAACACAGTTGCCATTTCTAACATAGAAGAATGAAAAATTAAATATTCCTTTTAAAGCTAATATATATTATTAAATTAAGAGGTAAAAAGTAGAATGTTATAAACTTTTTATTTTTTTTGCTCTTTATTCATCCTTTTACTACATTGTCTGTGAAGTAATAGTGGGTTGCTAGTACCATATGCATAGCCCTAGTAAATTATTCTTGGCATGGTATTTGCAAGTATGTTTCAAATTAACTAAACTTGTTGTGTGTAAGAACATGAGTTGCCACAGAGCCATGTCCAGCTATTACCCCTTATAAGTGAATCTGTTCACAATTTTTAAAGGCATGTTTTTAAGCCCTCTCCATAATCCCATTGAGATCCACAGGGCTGCCTGGGCTGCAGGAGAAGTCACCATTTTGCCCGGAGTAAACGGATGTAGCTCAAGTAGATTCACATGTGGAACTGCAATATTTGCATGTTACAGAGTGAGAAAACAAATGGATTCAGCAGTACGTTGAGGTTTTTTTTCCCTAGGGTGCTTTTCTGAATGGCTGTTAGTCATGACATGCACGCTGTGAGGTGTGGGAAGGAACTTGTGCGATCTCAGGAGAAGCTCCTCATTAATGTACTTCTGACCCTTACTCTCTCTTTCTAAGCAATACTCACTTCTAATTGTCAGGAGTATACAGATGGACCATAGTAAAAGGGTACGAGCTGGCAAGGAGAAGGAGCTTCTGAAGAAGAGAAAGTGAAGTACAGAGACCTCCAGAGTGTAACTACCTCCCTCCTACAGGGGTGGGAGAAGGAAAATTAATTAAAGGAGGGGTAAATGAAGTTTGAGTGGGTGTCGTGGCTTTCCTCTCTCACTCTTGGAGCCACAGAAGCAAGCAGCCATTCAAAGCTGACACCAACAGGAAATATTTGAACATTCATCCCACTTGTTGCTATTTTTTCCAGGATGTGGTGGAATAATTCATTCAGATAACGGTATGATCAAGTCTCCTCATTGGCCTCAAAACTTTCCCATGAACACCAGATGCACATGGACCATCATTACCCATGAAAGCAAACACTTGGAGATGAAATTCCACAGTAACTTCCAGATTCCAGATAGAGATGGAAGCTGCCAAAGCAGTTATGTGAAGGTAAAATAATTTTTGGCATTAGATTAGAAGAGCAGTGCTTTAAGATGTTATGATTCCAGAATCCTGTTTTGCAATCATCATGGTTAGGATTGTCAAGGCACAAAATTCAGGAAATATAAACTGAAGTTCTTGTACCAAAACAGTCAATTTTCTGTATGCCTTGAGAACTGGCTTGTATGCATTTTTAATTTTTATCAGTTCTTGAGGTTCCCCCACCAGTAGGGTCCCATCACCCTGCATGCTGCCCCAAAAATAAAAAACATGAAAAAAGTACAGATGACTTCAGAACCAGGAAATAATGAGAAAATATAGTGTAATGAAAAGACCCTTTAAATTACTCCAGTGAGTAAAAAACCAGCAAGGTGACACTATAACTAAACAAAACTCTACAAAACTTCTTAACAAGTGTATAAACTGTCCAAGTTGCACTTTTTTAATCTCAGAAACAAAGATAGCATTCTTATCTTTCATAGGTTGTCAAGAGCCACTTGTTTTCAAAGCAATAGAATGGAGAAGACATGCTTTGAATTTTTCAGTGTCATTTTTTTCTCAGGCATTTGGCATATGTTCAGTGGTTTTGTGCTCATTTTCTCCACAGCAGTACAACTCCCACTTAAAATAAAGGGCAAACATAATTTGACAACATGTAGGAAGGCTTGAGTAGCTGTACATCTGACCTATACCTACTAACTTACAAACCACAGTTGCACTAATTTTTTCAAGGCTGTGGGGAAAAAAAAACTGTTAGATTTGTCTTTCCATAGCCTGGTCCACTGATTAATTGAGGTAGTATGTTACAATAAATTTCACTAATATGAAAGTCTTAATGCCACCCAGTAAAGGTGCTTTAATTTCAAATTTCTAAAGTGTCCTGAATGACATGATCAAAACTATGTCGATTAGAAATTTTCACCATTGAGAAAAATCTGAAATTTTTGGTGATGTCCACCTCCATTTCTCAATGTCCTGTTTGAGATGTATGAAGGTGTCTGGATATGAAACAGTGTGGAACAGGTATAAGTTTCTTCCATTCATTCCAAGCTGAGCAGACAAAAAAAAAAAAAGGAATCCAAAATCAATAGTGACTTTGCAAAATTTGGCCAGGCCATAGACTTTTTATATTAATCCTTTGAGCATCCATTGCCTCGAACACCTGGCCAGATGAATGAGGTGGTTCATATGCCTACACTTACAGACTAACCCTTGGCTAACCCTTTCTAGGATGGTTGCTTAGAGCAATGACAATTTCATGTGGTTGTTCAGTTCCACTAGACTTCTTTCGAACAGATTATTTTGAAAATCAAATGTTATTTGTTTTTAATGTATTTCTGGTATAAAGTACCAGTAACCTGTTCAAACACATAGACAATAAATTTATTATTAGAGTAAATTTTTTTTCTTTTTTCTTAAAGCAGACATTTTAAAACCTTGGCAATAAACATCCTAATTCAGAAAATTATTTAAGCACTCAGAAACATCAAACATTTATGCCTATGTTTCATTTTATATGTATGTTGAAATTCAATGCTTAAACTGTGAGCCTCAAGTACATGTATAAGTAATTACCTGAAGAGGGTTTCACATAAATGCCTACCTAAATCTGCAGGTGCTTCTTGAATGCATGATTTGATTGAACTTAAATTAGCTATCAGTACAGTTGAAGTAATATTTTAAAAAATTGTGTCTTTTTCTTTGTTATATTTTTGTGAATTATATTATTTTGTTAACTATGTACATGATTTGATGGTTGTCATTGAGCAAGTGAATGCAACATAACAAAAATGGGAATAATTTTTGATTAGCAAGACTAGATATTAAGGATCCAGATCTTCCAGTTTGATGCCTCTATATTACCCCAGCATGACCATTTTGGGTTTTATTGACTTATGAATAATATAAGAATTGCATTTAATAATTCATAGTACACAGAGATATTCATAATCATAGGGTGTATGGAAATAAGTTAGCAGAGACAAAATGGAGGTAGGGAATGATGTGCATAAATTTTTTTTCTCTGGTTCCCTGAACTTCATCTATGTTGCCTCTGCTGTTAGCAGAGGTTTGAGCAAATGACCTCCAGATGCCCTTCAGAGGTCCCTGCCACCCTAAGTTATTCACTGTGATTCACACCTTGGAGAAGTCTTTTTGTCTCCACTGACTGTAGAGTGAATGGAGACTGATTAGCTCCAATTTAGATCTCTAAGATTCAGTGTGAAATGAATCCTACCCTAAGCCTATGGAAAGAACAATTGCATGTGCAATTCCTGGTGGGTTCCCACAGACTACATGGGCATTGAAAATACTAAACAATTTCCAATTTGGGCTTGTCAGGTGTGGAGAGGAAATGATGAAGAGGCAGCAGCTTTGTTAACCACAGGATGTGGAAGTTCACCTCCTGATCCTGTTGTTGCTCCAAACAATGTGATAACTACAGTATTTCAGTCTCAGGATGCTCCTGGGCCAGGTTTCTCTGCATCTTTCATAAGCAGTAAGTAATATTAAAGCCAGATGGCTGCTCTGTTAGTCCATTTTTTTTATTAATTTGATCTGTGTGTAGCAATTCAGACCTCAGTACAACATGGGATTGAAGCCTCTGCCCAGCTTTTGAAACCAAGCGTTTCCTTACTGAACACAACGGAGCTCTGTGTGCTCCAGTGTTGGACTTGAGAGAGATCCCCCATGCAGCTATCCCTTTGTAGTTATTCTTAGCCACCTTTACCTTTTCAGTGTGACAAAAAGAAATGAATAGGCTTTAAATGTTAAGACTTTTTTCTCTGTAGTTAAATTGCTTGGAAGCTAAAGCTATAATCTTCCTAAAAAGGACAAAGAATCTGCTCCTCCTTTAGAATTTTTATGTCTGTTCTTCTTTTCAAGGCACATGCTGAAACTGTGGTAAGTTCTCTTGTGTATTCTGCAGCCCATGCTCTTCACACCTGCTCTCAGGAGAAGAAATGACTCCTCACCACTTGTTATGGCCTTTGCTTTGCTTTGTTGTATTTGCATTTCACGTAGCTCAGGTGGCATTTCTTGGGTGGGCTTCTCCATTTCTTTATCCTGGCATGTGCTTTGTGACAGTCAAACCCACCAGAAGTGTAGGAAGCAGTGCTCATTTGCCATCACTTGTTTGGTTTTGTTGTAGGATGCTGCCACAGGAGACCACTTTTCCTTCACTGGATTCAGATTAAAACAGTGAGAAATTAAGTGCTTAGAGGAAGAAACTATTGAAGTATACGGAATTCTGAACTTAAACTGCTTTTGTTTATATAATATCTGCACTAGTGTCATCAGTAGCAACTAACAACCTCTTAGTGGGGACTGTCACAGGCTTCATATGTCTGCTCCTAATCTTATACCAGCATTTCCTTGTGCACTGCGCTCCTTCAAGACTGTAGCTTAAAATAAAAAGAAACCCCAGGGCCATGCAAGTCATTTGGATCAGGAGCTCCATGAAAATGAACAGTTCTGTGTGCTTGAGAAGTTCTGGGTGGCAAACCTTTCCTGCCTCTGTGTGTAGTGAGGCAACTCAGAGATGGCCCTACAGCAGACTGCATCCTCCTGGCTGTCAGGCACGAAGCAAGAATGGTACCACGTGGGCTAACATGGGCATTTTCAAATGAGGCTAAACTGCTGATGTGCCTCAATAACCCCCCACCCAGTTCAGCTGCATTTGTATGTACTAAGGGATTTTGAAAAGTGAAGGCTCCAAACACATAAGAACAGCAGTGCTGTGTTCTTCTGGTCGGTGAGCTGAGGGGCTATGGCCTGGTTTTACCCAAGACACTCCAAGATACTTTGTGAGGCTGTAGGCGGCAAGGCCCTGTGTTTTCAAAAAACACTGCTCTGTGTGTGTGTAAAACCTACTTTTGCCATCATGATATATAGTACTCTCCCTAGTTTTTTGGCCAGCCTCTTAAGGAGAGATGAGGTCCTTGTGTACGTTATTTGTTTTCTCACTGCAAAACCGGAATGATGTTATCATCTGGATTATAACTGTATCTTATTTATGTTTGCAGGATGCGGAGTAAATTTCACCAGCCCCGCAGGTCTTATCGTCTCTCCTAACTACCCTAGTCAGTATGATAACAACTTGAACTGCAGTTATATCATAGATCAGGGACCACAGTCACTGGTGATCCTAGAGTTTGAGACTTTCCACTTGGAAGGTAACTGGTTCTTCTTTTCAGTATGTACTATGAAGTGTAACTTCTTACTTGAAAACACACAAATCTATCATGAAAAATGTTTGATGGTTTAATTTGATGGTCCATTCTGAAAATAATTTACAGACAAACATTTACAGATATAGTTTCCAGGGTTCAGTTTTGCATCACTGGAAGACTTCCGGAAGAGTGAAGATAAATCTTACCTGATTAATATCTTGCATCAATGAAGTTGGGAATTTGCCAGGTAGTTGGAGTATAAGAGTGACTGTAGCCAATTTGGGTCTTTGTTCCTGCCTTTTTTTTTTTTTTTACATTGACTCTCATAATCTTTTTGATCTTAGGCCAGCTGTTTTGCTTTTCAATGCTTCTGTTTCTGTAACTGCTAAAAAAAAATGGATATAAATATACTCAGGTGTTTTACAAGGATGTATGAACATATAAATGTGAAATGAGGTGAAAGACTACAGTAACTGAAAACCTATAAAGGTTGTTACCCTGTATATATCCATGAACAAAAGTCCCTCTCGAGATTTTCAAACTTGGCAGCCTTTAGCCAAGAAATAACAGGTATAATATCCTGGTCTCATTGGAGTGAATGGTAACATTTTCCCAAATTTGACAGGATCAAATTTTTATTGATGGAGATGTCATAATAACATAGAGGAATCAGTATGTCAAACTACTTGGGTGGTGTCACATATTTTGAGGCCATCTTAATTTGGTTCCCTTGAAGTCACCTAGACAAAGAGATTTTTGAGTAATTTGTTATTACACTGGGGTGCGTAATTTAAATTTTTCTGCAGACCAGACAATAAAGTCAAAAAATAGGATTCTTTTATTTTCTTTTTAAGTTTTTAAACTGTTTTGAATTCAAAAGTATTCTGGTCCAAACTTAATTTAGGTCTGAGACAAAGATGTGATTTGACTATGATTTTATCTGAAACCTTTCTTTCATCCTCTAATACAAACTGCTACTTTAAGAATTATTTTTTTAAATGAAATGTAAACCACAGAAATTACATAATTTCTTTATGTAGAAGAAACTATAACTCAGCAGCCACACTAAATATTAGGCTGAATCAGTTGATGCCAATTTTGACACCTCTATGAGTACGTTACTGATCTGTATTCTGCCTGTGCATTCATTTAATTTATAAATGGATTCAAGCTTTTATTATCAAGAAGGTTAAAGCAAAGATGTAAGTGATGCAGACATAATAATAAACATAGATCTAAATAAATAATAAAAACATTGTACTTCTTGCAGGGCAATTTGCTCCTTTATTGCTACAGGTTTCTTTAGGCTATACAGACTAAAAGTCTGTAGTCACATGAAAAAAAAAGAACTGTGGATGTGAGCTAAAAGACATCTGGCTAAAAAAAGGGAAGTGTGCCACTCTCCAGTAGTTAATTATTACTGTTTTTCACAAAATCTTAAAACACAACCCTGTAGCAAAGAGACGTTGCCTGGGTTCAAATTGGAAGGAAGATTGAAACCATCATCTTGCAAACTATCATGCAGAAGTGAAAATTACTCAGCAGTCCCACTGAATATGTTTAGCACATGTGCCTAAGTGTTTCCAGCGTGAACTCTGTTACTTTTTTTGCAAAGGCACAACAATATTTGCCAGCATCTGTTAAAAACATTTCTAGCTATTCCGTATGCAAGGAAAGATCTATGCACCTCTTAGATTGTTGCTGCGTGTGGCCTTTAAAATTTTAACCATACTTGTGGAGATGTTCTGGATTCGTTTTTTAAAGTTTAGCTACATGTCCAGTTAACATAATTTACTACCTATTTGACCTCTCAAAAGGAATCCAATTGTTTTTTTCATGGTGGTTTAGTAATGAAATGAAGTTTCTAAAATAATGTCTGTAAGGCATACACATTGACTTTAACTGGTTGAGATATCTTTTCCATAAAATTAGAAGGCAGAAGGTAATTGGCTATAGTGCAGTGACACATTGGTACAAAATTGAATGACTTCATGGCTTAGTCACAGATCTCTGCTGTAGAGTGGTTATGTTTTTAGTTATCATGAAATGCCTATTCTCATCATGAAGAATGACTCCAAATGAGGCAGTTAACCCTCAGCAGTGATACAATGTCAGTATCTGGAACCAAATGAACATGGCATGCATGTACTAAATATTTAATATGTATTAAGTACTAAATATAGCAAGTAACAGAGTAAGAAAGAACTGGAGGAAGCTGCATTTGTTGATTTTGTGACCAAAATTTAATCTAAATTGGCTGCTTCCTAGTAGGTAAAAAATTGTTTTTATCTGACTTTGAGCCTCTGAAAATAATATCTATATTAGATTATCATCTAGATTTATCTCCTCCTATAGTGAAGTGAATAAGTGCTTTAAACTCAAAACCAAATGTGTTGTACAGGTGGAATGAATTGCCTTCTGAAGGCAATCTCAGGAAGTGATGTGTGCTGAAGAGGCCCCATGTTGGGTGCCAAAAAGGACTGTCATGGTTTAACCCCAGCCACCAATATGCACCACACAGCCACTCACTCACTCCTCCCTGGTGGGATGAGGGAGAGAATTGGAAGAGTAACAGTGAGAAAACTTGTGGGTTGAGATAAAGACAGTTTAATAGGCAAAGTAAAAGCTGTGTGCGCAAGCAAAGCAAAATAAGGAATTTGTTCTCACTCTCGTTACACATTGACTGTTACAGGAAGCCATAGACAATAGCTCACACAAGATACTTAAGATTTAGGCAGCAAAACACAGGCAAGATTAAACCTATGAATGGAATTTGTCTTAGTCTCTGTGATTTCCTTGAAGCATGAAGAATGTCTCTTCTTGTGCCAAACTGAATATTGTTACAAAACCTTCCTTCTGATTTTCCTGTTTTATGAGGTTGCATAGCTTGCCACTTGCTTCTTGTAGTGCCACCTGCATTGTTGTGTTTGCTTATTTTGTAAAGAAACAAACAAATGGGGGTGAGTTTGTTTTCTCAGCCCCACTTCTGTGACAGTGATAAATGTCATCTTCCATCTGTCTTCCCTCCTTGGATCAAAGGTCTACACAAATCTAAGATATTATCTATCTCAGTAGACTTACTATCTAAGAAATAATTAATCACTTTAATAATAAGCTTTATGCAGATGAATGGCCTTACAAATACACCTCTAGGACAGCTATGGCAGTATATTATTTAATGGCTGTAATACTCTTCAAGTATGAGTATAACATCCAGTAAAGTCTGAGTTCCAAAACATAGAAAATTAGGGGAAGTGGATGTGGGCCTCCTGCAATATCTGCTTTTAGAATTCTGTAGCAGTTATACTCTGTCCATACAAAACAACTGCATTGTGGTGATACCATGTCGACCTGAAAAATGTTTTAATAACTTGTTTATTTCTCTTTTTTTTAAAACTTTTTTTTAAACATACAACTGTGATTTTGCAATCTGGGATAGGGTCACAGCTTCATTTTGGAGTCTATCCGCTTTCTCAGTTGTTACTAGGCAATTAATAAAATAGAAAATTTTGCAATAGATTATTTTGAAAAAGGATGTATATATATGAAAGATTTGTAATTTCTTGCTTTCAGAATATTGTCTTGTGCTATGGAACTGGTTAGTATATTGCATGGAAGTATGTATGTGCGTAATACTTCTCTTACATTAGTAATTACTAATTGTATTACTATTTATACCAGAAGCTACAGTTGTGAACCAAAACCTCATTATTTTAAGTTTTACAAACTTTAAACAAAAAGCCAGGTTCTGCCTCAATACGGTATGAAATAGAATCTATGGCTATAGACAGAGAGATGGAAAGAGGACACTATTCGGTCAAAGTTTTTGTGCAGGCATCATATCAGATAATTATGGAGAATAATGACAGAAACTTCTGCTAAATGGAAAGAAGACGACACAGAGGCATATTTCAAAATGTAAAGTAAGGACATCTGAAGCTCTTATCATGTGAACTTTGGAGTCAATGTATCAATGCTGAGCAGTACCAAGAGATGATAAATAGAGTGCAGATAGATAACATAAGGCCTTGAAAGCAAATACATGCAGAAATTCAAAGAGAGAGAGATATATTAATAATATCAGGCCAAATAATTGATCTCTCCAGCAGTATTTGGAAGAAATATTGTCAATGCTGGAGGAACGCATGGTACAGTATCCATGTTGGAAAAATCAGTGTTTCTTGGGTGAGAGTCATAGCTATGTGGAAGGATACGAAAGAGTTTATCATAAAGATAATAACTGGAAACACTTGACAATATTTACATCTAGTCTGGATGTGAATACCTAGAGAGGTCCAAATCATACACATGGACCTAATGAGGGCAGGCGAAAGGATGAGGCTGTAAAGAAGATGCAAGGGAAGACCTGAGGCGGGGCAGGGGGGAAGCTCTCCTATTGAATTTTTTTGTTGAGAGACAGAAATAAGATTTTAGTCTGAACAGAAAAAGGCCTGGAGGACAGAAGCAGACTTGTGGGGTCATCAGCATAGAGCTAGCAGTTCCATCTGTCCTTGCAAGTGAGATTATACAGAGCTAATGCGGAGATAAAGAGGGAAAGACAAGAGAGAAGATGTCTCATTGAATCCTCATGGATGAATCGGAAGAGAGAATACAGTAATACCAGAAGGATGAGCTAAATCTCCTAGTAGACGAAGTTCTATGAAGAAAAACAGTGCTAGCTATGTGGAAAGTGCCAGTCAGCTCAAAGAGGATGTATGTCTGACATCTAGCTAAGAAAAGATCTCTGGAGACTTGTGAAAGCTGTTCCATTGTAATGCAAGGGACAGAAATTGGTCTAGAAAAGACCTAAGATGATAGAATCAGAGGAAATAAACCACAGAGAAGAATTGCTGATTATGTGCTGAGTGTGTGTAGAGGTTTCAAGTATGACATGAGGAGATAGGATAGCAGAATCTGAGGCTGGGGATTGTTTACAGAATAATGCATTTTAGTATGGTGAGAAATTAAGGAAAAGTGTAAACATGAGAATGAGTTACAGGATAGAGATCAAACAATTATCAGACCTGCCAGGATTCATGGGTCATAAATTATATTGGCCCAAACAATGAGGATTCAAAAGCTTGGAATTAAGCCTTTTGCTCACAATCCTATGTCAACCATCTTATTCTTTCCAGTGCAGTACTTCAAAACAAATTGTGATGGGTATTGTGGCCTTTTGCTTTGCTGAGAAATCAGTTTTAGTTCATGCCTTTCTCCAAAGCCTTTTCAGAAAAGGACCTGAGTTGCTTTCTCAAATCTTTTCCATTCTGAAATTGCACTTGCCTCCATTTAATTTTTTAAAATTTCTTTGTATTTTAAAATTGGTTATGTTTTTTAATTGTATCACATTATCAAGTATTCTCATAATAGGGCACGGCATGGCCGATGTTTTTAATTAATTATTTTATTATCAGTGTAATCAGCTATCTGATGTGGCCGGTGGTTTTCAGCTTAGTTACTCTTATTACACTTGGACAAGCACCATTTTTGCCTATTGGCATAATTGTAAAGGACATTAGAATACATTGTCTTCATTGAGAGAGAAAGCATTTTTAAATTAAAACTTCAGAGAGGATCTAAAATATATCTGACTGCTGAGATCACTCTTGTTCTTGTGACACAGAATTATCACACCATTCCTATTTGTCATCCTGTTCAACATGAGTCATCCTGTTTCCTACAACACTAGGAAGCAGCTTGTCTTGACTGGACAATCTGCAGGAATCGCTCCAGTGCAACAGTAGGCTCTGTGTCTCTCCTGTTAAATTTAGATAATTCCCTATTAATCCTTTGCAGTTTATGTAACTGCTCCATTGTTGCTAACAGATCGCTAAACATGATAACTTAGCCTCAATAAACATGTGACACCACAGCTTCCATTAAGCGTGTAAATTATGGAAAAAAACCAAGAAAACATCAAGTTGTTATATAAGCATAGCAATTAATGAAGCTCATTTTTCAGTAGATGTGTGCTGTGTTTTTCACTGACAGTTTGGATACAACTCTCTTGCATGATCCACATGGCTCCTTTCTTGCTCCCACATGATACCAAACCTCTCTAGCTGCCACCATTACAGCCCCTGGTGCTACCACACTGGGTACCACCAACCTCTCCCTGTGCTTATGGGTCCTGTCGAGGCAGGGATGTGGTGATGTGGTTCTGAGGTCCCAGGGTGCTGGTGGCTGGTGCTCAGCAGGTCTCTGCCCAAACTCGCAGCCCTTACACTGCAAGCACAGCTTGTCCTTCTTTGGGGACATTCCTCTGGCACTCTAACTCAGCTACTGACTGAAACTTATATGATAATATAATACATTTATATAATACATTTGACAGCTCTCAGTCAAATCCGATTGCAAATGGTGAGTTGGTTAGAAAGTCAGGGAGGTAGGGCAGGGAGTCAGAGAGGATGGATTATTCTCATTCTTGAATGATTTAAAATTCCCTGCCCTGAGTGCTGACTTCTACATTAGGGGAAAGCAATACCAGGTACTTGGTTTCCTGTAACAAAAGGTGCATTGCATTGATCTGCAGAGGAGATCCATGCTTTTCTTAGGTCGTCTCATCTCCTCATAGATGGTGTTGACTCAACTATGAACTCCCACAAACTCAAGGGGCCTGGAGCCTTTTCCAGATGATACGATGTGTTCAGTGGGACTAGTGTGATGTCTTGTATACAAGGTCTCCTTGCCTTTTTTTGCCTCAGTTTTTCTGCATGTTAAAAATTGACATTTGCTTCCTCAGCAAGCAAATGAGATCCCAAGATCCAGGAATGGAAAGTAATATAAAATTTAATTCTTATCCTGTGTGAGGTCTATACACTTGCAACTCAGTAAATCACATGGGAAATATGCTGCTAACATTTCTGCATTATATGTCCATGCAGCTCCAGCGCTCTTGAGCAGAATTTGTCTTTATGATGGAGTAAGCATCTTCAGTGGGACGAGGGTTACCCCCCATCCTCTCATCACGCTCTGTGGTAATGAGCTCCCTGCCCCAGTCAGTGTCTTTGGACCTATGCTGCTCAACTTCTACACCGACTCCCACATTGCAGGCTTTGGATTCCAGGCAAGATACAGAGCAATTGGTGAGTAGCCAGTCTCCTGTGCTTTAGGCGGTAGAAATATTCTGGCTGGATAACAGTTCAGTGTAGGAAATATACCTCATTTTGGGAATACCTTAGATGGATGTAGATGGTTCATATTGCCTCTGCACTTGCCCAAAAGAGCTCTCAGGACCAGAACATGGAACAGTTTGGTGCGTGTTGTCACTGACTGATATGTTATGTCACAATTCCCATTTCAAGACAGTATGTGGGACCAAGTCAGGAACTGAAACACTTTACCTTTGCTGTAGAAAAAAAAAACGCAATCCATTTTGTCACAGTTTTTTTGGGTTGTTTGGTTTTTTGGGTTTTTGGGTTGTTTGGTGTTTTTTTTTTTGTTTTTTTTTTTTACAATGTTTAAGGAGAAACATCATCAGTTTATTTAACTGAGTTCATTTAAAAGATTTTATCACATACAAGAAAATGGCCTGATTCTCAGTTATACTAAAACTACATTATACAACATAGGAACTAGAAAAGGATCTTTAAATGTACCCAGCTATATGCCTCCATTTGATGACCCTCTTGCAGTGTCAGGTGTTAATATAAATAAAAATTGGGATCTCAATATACTTTTGTTTTTTAATAAATATTTTCACCAAAACTTTTTGTCATTCACATGAGATCTCTTTGGTTTTAAAGAGGAAATATGTATTAAAAAAATAAGTTTCCAACTGAGTTTAGAATTTACATCTGCACAAATATAAATACCCCAAAAGATTGATTTTATTTTCAAAACCAGTTTTACTATTTTCTAAGTTTAACTTACAGAGACAGTACTTTGATTTTTGAAAGCATCATTTTCTAAGTGCAGAGAAAAGTGTGAGTTCTTAACTTTGCTATTTCCCTTAATGCATTCCTTATGTTCAAAGCCACAGCTAAAAGCATAAGGCTAAATTCTTTATAGAAAATGAATGGCCTTATACAGATAAGACAGAGGGAATGGCACTGAGAAATGACAATATGCAGTTACTCATGGAAAAGACCTTCATAACTCACTCAAGTAATTTACGGCTATCTGACTTGTGACTTCTGACATTTGAGAAAGATGACTGCAGCCTTATTAGCTTGTTGTTGTATACAAAGCAGATTCTAGCAATTAACATTCCTCTTCCCTCTAGTTGTATTGTTTGCTGAAATAAAATGAAAAATGCTTCCCCCTCCTAGTGTATAATAATGATTCTTTATCCTTCTGGCTCCTGTCCTTTATCTGCCAGTGCTCCAGGCCACCAGCCTGAGCACAGCTGAGGAGCCAGGGGCTCTGTATCCAGCAGCACCCTGTATGGGACTGCCTTTGTTAAGGTGGTGGCCTGGGCAATGGCATGTCCTTTAAATCATGAAAAGCTGTGTGTGGCTTTGAGCTATTTATCAACAGGACGCAGGGAAACATTTTTTTGCTAAGTTAAGATTATAAAATAAAGGCTGAAGCTAACAATGGAGATTAGACTTAGTTTTATAATGGTTTTTGTTCCCTCAAGCACTGAAGCTGGGAACAAACATTAGCCACATCCTGGCCTCGTCAGCATCCATGGTGTGAAACCCTGAGAAGCCAAGCAGTGCCTTTAGTTCACAGCTGCAGCTCCTCAGCCAGAGAGCAAGTATGCAATCCTCCAGCTCAGCCATCACCCCAAGTCCCAGTACAAGGTGAAGGGGGAAAAAGTCCCCACGGTTAGTGATACCTGGGGACTCCTCTCTGCCTTTCTGCACAGAACAAATGCTACAGTAATGCTCCAGCCCTGCCAGGAGGTGGAGAGATGATGAAGCTCTGCATACAGTTATTCCAGAAAAGTCAGGGGCAGGGCTATTGTGGCTGCATTTGTGTCAGTGCCAAACTTTCAGAGGCTTCCATAGGACCAGAGCTTGGATGAGAGACTGTCTTTGCCCACATATCAGCCAGGTTTCTCTTGGCAAGCTCAAACGGCTGCAGAGCGACTCCAGATGCACCTCACTCACGCTGCTGCATGGGGCACCCACCTCATCCGCTGCTCCCTGGTCCTGCTGCAGCACACTTGAAATCAGGCTCAGTCTTTTACTGCACAAACACAGAGCCATTGCCATTTGGTATGGACTAGTAACAACCTGTTACTTTGATACTGAGTAGTCTTCCACTGCAGAGCACAACCCGATAGGCATCTCCACATTTAACGGTGCCATGCAAGACAGTGAGGACTGCTCCTAATTTATCAAGGGCTTTTCTTTCCTTATGACTACTGCAAGAAATATGAGAACTAGGACCAAGCTAGTATTCAGATACTAATCACTCTTTTTTCTCTTTCCCCTACAGCTTGTGGTGGCATTTTCAATGGCTCTGTTGGTGTTATTAGCAGTCCAGCCCATTCAGTTCTTGATTATCACAACAACATGAACTGCTCATACTACATCACAGTCGGAAATGGCAAAGTAGTGGCCCTCAAGTATGTAATCCAAGTTCTGCTTGGCATCAAAGGGGCAGGGAGGTCTCTGATTCCAATTAAAGACAGCAATTATTTACAATTTTCTCTCTGCCTTTCCTTTTCCAAGGGAAAGCTGAACTAAAATGAGAAATGGCTACTGAAGCCCCTTTTATCAACCTCAGGCTCCCTTACATCTTTCTCTGTAACTTCTTATGTGAAAAACATCACCATAATTTTAACTTCCCACTTTGGTTATCAGAAGGATTAAGAAACTGTAAAAATGCAGCTCATGCTTTTAGTGAAATTCTGTCAGCCTTTGAGGAGTTATGAGACTCCTGTGAGTATAAACTAAGTAAGTAAGTAAGAAAAAAAATTCTTTTAGCACGCTGGTACTCAGTTTACCGTCCAATAATGCCCACCCAGAAAGAGTATATTTCTGAGTGTGTCCTGTCTTGCCTAAAAGAGGGATATGGCTGCCACAGAACCTTGCCAGTGAGAAATTGAAAGATGGATACATTCTTCTGTCGTATATATGCTGATTGTGAATTAAGAGAACATTTCCCAGATAAGCGGAAGATGCATCTGGTCTGCCCTGAGCCTGCATTTTATATGCCCCTCGCGTGCCCAAGAAAATTGCAGCCTGAGCAATTTGCAGAAGTGAGAGAGTGTATGTTTCCACAGGGGAGATCTGCTGCTTCACAGAAGGCCGAGGTGTGCCGACAACTTGCCTTGCAAGAGGTCCAGTGGGTTAGGGTCACTATTTCTTTGAGGCTGGTTGGCTGGAGTGTTTTGCCATGCAGTTAGTAGTTCTGCTTGCTTGTTCCTGAAGAGAAATGTTTTGTGATATCTGTCTGAGTATGACTTTGACTATTGCTATTGCTTAGACCTTTCCTCAAGCGCTAAAAACACACATAACACAGGAACAGAAGTGAAAATGTGGTACCTAAAGCTCCAAATGTATTTTACAGATTCAACAGCTTCCAGCTTGAAATATCTCCCTCCTGCTACAAAGACTATGTGGCTGTATATGATGGCTCAGACACCCATGCGCCTCTCCTCGGGAAATTCTGTGGTTCAGAACTGCCTCCAAATATTAAGAGCTCCAGTAATAACTTGTTCCTAGTGTTTAACACTGACTTCTTTGGAGCAGACAGGGGATGGAAAGCATCTTTCAGGGAGACCTTAGGTAAGGATATTATCAGACTCATAACCCCAAGAATCTGCTGGTAAGTAATTACCTTTGGTGAGGATCAGTTATGGTCTTACTCACTAGGGCTGCATGATGCAGAAGAATGTTCTGATTTTGTAAAAGTTGAGTGAACTAAGCTAAATACTAGGCTTATGGGATCCCTGGTTCTGAACTGATTCCTTTCATTCTTTGCTAACCTCTTCCTGCTTCTCTGAACGCATAGGGGTTCTTGGGTGACTGAAGGCTTAGCAGCACCCAAAGCCCCCTCTTTTAGAGGAAATCTGGCAATACCTGAGAACACTTATTCTTCTGTAGGCAAAGCTTGGTGGTGTTCTAAAGATGCCTCCTTTCTATCTACCCTCAATTTCTATTTCCTTGCTGTTCACCTCACACCTTTTTAAAAACTAAGCATTAAATTTAGTTAAGATTGGGAGTCCCCCCCAGGCACCACAGTGCTGATCTCTACTGATTTTGAGGATCAATATGATTAGCTGGCCATAACATAAACGGGGATCATAGTAAGAAGGAACTGGATATTAAATGTTTTGCTGGACACGGGAGGGGCAAAGCTTGATTATTACCTGAAAAAAAAGGTTTAAGCCCAGTAGTCTGTTTTTAAGATCAAGGTGTAGAAGGAATTTTGTACCTTCTTATAACATCCAAATTGTTTAGGGATGATAAGCAACAAATGGTTATTGCATGTAAATTGATTTCATGTCATTGCTACTAGTTTCCTGTGTAATTAACTCAATGTTTTTGTGATCTAGAAAGAAGTAATTGTCTGGTTTACAAAGCTGGCACTCAGACAGTTCAGAATGAAAGGCCTTTGTGACAGAACAAACATAGTCTTCTGCTGAGTCATTGAACCCTCTCCTAACCCCTAGCCAGTGACTTTCTCATTTGATAGAGTCTCAGAAAGTATTTACAGATAAGGAAAATAACTGGTTCTACAGGCTTTGCCAAGAAAAATATTCCCACAGAACCTCATGGTTATTACTATTATTAACTCTTTCTTTGCTTCACTCTCAGTAATTGCTACAGGAATCTTTTAAGACCACTCTTGTGGAGTGGTATTTCAAGTAATATAACGTTGTTGTCTTTAAACCGTTAGGTATCAGTTGTCAGAGATCTCCCACTGCCTGGGTTCGTGTTTCCAGGGTGAGATCATCAGGAACTCCCCAAGCTCTTGCTCTTCCTGTTGGCGTATAGTCATTTTTTTTAGCCACTGACTTGAGATTTATTTGTGCAACTTGCCAGAGATTCTGCTTAAGCACACAAAAGAACACAAGCCAAGCTCTTCAAATTAGTACCAAGCCTGATTATTTCCTAGAGTGAGGAGAAGCTTTTTATGAATAAATTTTGACATCTATTAGGCTAATTTTTGGAGGGCATTTCTGTAGGCTCCCAAGGAAAGGGAGGTTGTGTAGTTGCAGGAGTTACTCAGGAGCAATGGAGTTGCAAGTTGGAAAAAATGGCCATGCAGAGATGTGGGTTGTGTGACGAAGAGCCCATGGTGGTGTGATGCTTAATGGTAGGTCTTCTTTCTCCGCTGTGGGAAACAAGCCACAGGGACTAAACTACCCAGCCATTACGAAGGATCCTGACAGTCCCATGCTACTACAGAATGGCCAAAAAGGAGGCAAGTATATTATAAAAGGAAAACATGAGTCACAGTTCTATAAACATTTCCAGTTTGACTTGTCTGACAAATAGAGCCAGGAAAATCTGACACATCTTTGTACTATGAGGTCTGAAATTCTGCTTCAAATGAAAGACAATAAAACCATAAAGATCTAAAAGCCTGTTATTCTAAATAGTGCTTTAGAGAAGTTCCCTCATGTCTGTCAAAAGATAAAATCCATGTGGTTTTATAAAAGTACAAATGCAACCAGATGACAATAATGATAAATCTCTTGGATAAGAAAGATGGTATCTTTAGAGAAACAAGAAGCCTCCTTCAGTGTTGCATGACAGTGAGCGCATTATTCTGTAGTTACCCTAGGGAAGCACAACTGGATAACATAATTATTGCTCTCTGTTTAGTGTTGTGAGTGACCCTGATTATGTATTGGAAAGAAGTGAACAGAAACAGTACACTCGTTTGTAGCAAACTAAACGATTTCCTTTCCTCACAAGCTCTTCCAATTTCTTTCCTGATCAGGCTTCTCTCAGGGGTACTGCCAAAATCTAGGGTTATTCATTCTTTCTTTCTTGTGAATTTTATTAGGAGGGAGTCCGTCTGATAGCCATTGTGGTGGGAGGGAAGAGAGAAGACGAAGTAGGAAACTCACAGAAGCCTAGCAAGACTGACAGTAACCAGGCATTTGAAGAGTTAAACCCTGACATTTCTGTAGAAAAACATGCTCTGTTTTAATTAAAACAATTTGTTTCCATCACTAATCCTGCACCCACTAGAATATTTAAGGTCCCCTTACTAGTCAGAAAAGAGAGGCTAACAGACAGTGTGAAAGAGAATTAACTTCACAGTACAGCAATCTCTCTCTTTTTGTCAAATGTCTTTTCTTTCACTATGCTACTCCACACGCTGTGCAATATAATGTTAAGTGCACATTTCACAGGCAACATTCTTTCTTTGTTATAACCAACTCTGTGATATGGTGCATTTGAGGCAGGGTGCAGTTCAGAGGGTTTATCATTTCACTGTCTTTGCTGCTAAGTTTGGACGCTTATTGGCCTTATTTTTGGAATCACTGGACATACTCTCAGGCTGAGCTGGTGAACTTGGCTGACTAGAGGATCCCAGACTGCTCCAAGTCTTAGATTTGTGGAAAGAAAAATGCCTTTTACCTTAATTACCACTGACCTTTTTTCTGCCTTTGTTTTCAGTCTGTAAAATGAGAATTATACCTACTTTCCATGGCAAGTGTGTGCTCCTCTAGGCAATCAGTAAATGGATGAGCAGAGATAAATCAATACCAGCTTAAAGCATTTGGTTACATGAAATGTCTCTGTGAAGGAAGGAAAGTTAAGATCTCTGTCCAAAGAATGAGGTATGCATGTACTGAGTTTGTGACTTGGCCAAAGATCTCTTCATTGTATCTCCAGCTCTAAGGGGAGACCTGCGCTTTTCAGCTGACCCTGGCTGGCAGGGATGGAGCCTGCACATACGTCTGCCATCCCTGCTGTGATAGCAGGGACTTTGTGCTTCGGTGATAAATGGAGCTTCTATCTATTCCCATCCAGCAGCGGGGTGACCCTCTCACCCCAATTTGTGATCCCTCTGAAGCTTATGATACAAAGGCTGAGAAGACATATAAGGGTTGGTTTTTTTTCTTATTTTTAAGGAGTCAGCAACCCCTGTTGGGAGATATAGCTGTGACCTTATTAACAGCACATAATTTTCACTTGACAGCTTTCTGTGCTCATGTATATAGTCCCATTGTCTCAGTAATGAAAAATATATTCCATTCTAAACCATCGGAGAAGGGTCTAGGAGTTTCTGAAAGGTCGGTCTGCTCATGGGGGCTGTCTGAGGAAACCATACGAATTTACAAAAAACAAAGTGTTACCCATGGTCAGAGAAGTGGGTTGAGTCAGAAAGCTCTTCCTGAGCTTTTTTTCATACAATACAGGCAAACCTGAAACGGAATGGGGACAGTGGAGAAGGTGGGAAGGAGGAGGGCAGGAACACTGCCTGCTTTTTCTCTACAGCTCTAAATCCTGCTTGACTTCAAGCTGTAGCTTCCCCTCCTCTTTTTTATACTATCTTTTGCGAGCATGCAGGAGAAATTCACATTTATACTTTGTGAAAGAGTAGTATGGTGTACTGTATGAATACCAATGTTATCCCTTGTTTGCATTACCTTGGGACTTACAAGCTCGTGAACTGCAATTCCAGTGCGCTAGGCACTGCACAGGCAAAATAAAGCAACAATCTTCTGTCACTAAGAGATTATGATTTAAACACAAGACAAGGAAAACCAGATGGACATAGACAGGCAAGAAGAATAGGGTGGCAACAATGAGAAAATTAGTGATACAGGCTCTAAGGCAGAAGAAATGCCTCCAAAACCTTTGGCAACCATTAGACTGTTGGAATGTGAAGTCCTTAAGCACCCTGTCCTCTGCATTGTCCTCAGTTTGCTCAGCTTTTCCCTCAAGGATCCCTCCTTCCTTTTATTCAAATGAGTATTTCTGTTGAATGAATATTAATCATTTTGCATAGGAAAAAAATCATAAGTGAGTAGAGTTTAGAAGAAAAATAGTTGGAAAAAGAAATCCTCTGATATACCAGAAAAATAAATTAATAGGTAATTTACATAAATAATCTAGTACACATATCATAGATTATAATCTATTATTTCCTGAAAAAATGTTCTGTAACTTACCCGATAAATCACTCGGAGGTATCCGTCTTCCCTTATTCTATTAGCTGTGTATTGAATTACTTGTTTCCTGTTTGGAATACAATCCACTAAGTGTCTGTCACTAATGGGGTTACTGTTATGCTCTCCTCTAATGAAATTAAAGTGTACTTTAAAAAAAATGGATCCAGTAGAATTTTCACAGCATTTTTATGCTATTTTATCTTAACAACAAAAAAAATTTGCTTAATATAGTTCTAGATCCAGTTCTGCCCTGCAAACTGAAAGCTTGGCTCACTCTGTGCTCAGTTTCTAGGTGCAGATTTTCAGCAGTGCTCAGTGTGCACAGTTGCTGCTGAGGTTTTTTGGTTGTTCAGAACTGATGGAAAAAACCTCAGTTCTGAACGGGCAATATAAGGTGTAAAATATTGGTTTGGTTATTCTATTGCATGGGTCAGAGTTAGGTGTTCTTTTGTGAGTAGTTTCTAAATTCTTACACCACCAGCAGTAATTCATTGCACTGATTTATCTAAATAATGGTAGTACCTGCTGTAGGTGGCACCAGGCACCTGTACTGACAACAGCAGTTATGGCCTGTTAGGTGGGAAGGGACTCAGCACAGCTGAATCTCAGGTTTCCTGCACATTTAGAAAGCATTTGCAGTGTTGAAGTACATTTCTTCTGTATCTCTGAAAATAATACAACTGTTGAGCTAAGGAATAGCCTACAGACACCTCTGAGAAATGTCAGTTATTTAATGTCTGTGACATTTCTTCTCCCAAAGCAAAATAAAGAGAAGTGGTTTGCCTACTCAAACTGGACAGACAAGAAGATAAGCAGACATTTAAATACGACATTTCTGACTGATCTGAAAATCTGTACTCCAGAGCATATAAAGGGTGAGGAGACATTTCTGATTCACATTGTAAGAGAGATCTGCAAAGGCCTGAGCAGCTGTGATGCCAACAAGTACGCTAATGCAGTATTAGAAAGCATTAGCATGAGGCCAGACTACGTGTCTGTCTCTGGTCTCCCAGATAAGCATTGAGGAGATGGATAGGATGCTACATACATTATAATTTTGCAGAACTAGGACAGGCTTGGCACAGAGCATGTCTGGACTGTTATATTTGGGTCCAGCCAATAGTCTAAAAACTTAGGAATATGAGCTTCATCTGACTGCATTTGTGAAATCCTGCTAGGAGACTGGAGCTTTGCAGTCCTAAATATCACTGCTGGAACCACCAACCCGGTCAAAAACCCTTTCTGTGTAAAGGCTGGGCTGAGTGCTTTCCTAAGTCTCCTTCTGCAATGCTGCAGGCACTGTGGTCACAGCTGGCACTGCTGCCAGGGTCCCACTGCCACACAAAGTCATGATGTCTGTACAGTGATTGCCAAACATGGGAACAGCTCAGCCCAGCCTGCAAAGGTTTACTAACCTTCAGTATCAGCCATGAGACAAAGTATGACAGTACAACTCCTCTCTCCATCCCTATATCATTCTGAGCCATGATCCAAACAAGCTATGAGCTAATTATTACAGCCACAATTAGTCCAGCCATTCCTCTGCACTAGAAAAAAGACCTGTCAGGAAATAAGGATTAGTCTTGGTAGAGTTAATCTTTGCTTATTCTGACTTTTAGTTCAGATCAGAGAGAAGCCTAGAGTTCCAAGGGATGCTTCTAGGTGAGACCAAATGTGATTCAGAAATCTGGGAGAGGATTTTCTTTACTATTCAGGGAGAACTAAAACAGTTCTTTGAACTTCGCTGCCTTCTGGTAGACGTTTGTGGTGCTCATTCAGTAGGAAGGGAAGAGCAGCAAAATTACTTTGTCATGTTTTGAAATGTCATTGGTTTAGTTGCTTCTGATAGATTTAAAACTATTCAGAAGGCTCCCTTTCATTGCATCCATACCTGTATAAAAGAACCTTACCCCTGGCTGTGCTCCAAAGGCAGGCAGCTTCAAAGATTCATCTTCATCTTTGTTCCATATCTAGAGGATGTAACTCTTAACAGAGAAACATGTGCTTGCCCTCTGCTGTAATTATTTTTATTTGCCAGAGGGAACCTTCAGTTCTTTATTTTCTGAATGGTTCTTCAGCCCTTTAGTTTCGTTAATGCTTCCCAACAAAAGCAATTAGTGATGACAATGTGTGCCCTAGTTAGTCTCATAATTTGTGTTCTCTGGCAAGCTGTTTATGAGGAGGACAAGATTGCAATCTGATTTATGATGGCCTAATGATTTTTATTTTAAATGAGAAACCAGAGACTGAAACAACACAGTGATGTAGTCAGTCCATCTGCCCACACACGAATTGTTCTATAAGGAACATTTATCATTATTTTTATCAAGTTTAGTTTTTAATATATAAGAGTCTCTTCTACAAATTAACAGACTTCTCAGTCCCACGTTTTGCCTAAATTCTAGCTACCATTTTTTCAGACTGTATTAGCCTGCTATGAATATAATTCCAGCAATGATCACTAGCAGGCTGTATGGCTACTATTTGGACTTCTCTTCAGAAGTGGTACTGATTTTTAAAACAATGAGTTGTGTCCTGGCTAAAATGCAGTGCAATAGTGTTTCTCTTAGCGTGAGTTCCCTCCTGTTAAGCAGCTGGTTCTTCATTAACTTGTGGGTGTTCCCTCGATCTACACAGCTTCACAATTCTGTAAGTTTTAGTGGCTGCAATCAGCTGTAACATTTATCAGTACTGAAAAAGACCAAGATGGATAGATTTTTCAGCAAGGGTTGCTCTTTATTTGGCTTGACGCAAGACTACTTGATATCTGGTTGTCTTCCAGTCTAGCCATTATTTATAACATACTGTCCTGTAAGCATTTGACTCAACCCCAGCTGAGCAGGCTAAGCATTGTGAAAGCTAATGATGAAACCTCATCTTTATTAACTGTATATCATACTTTTAGTTATCTCCCCTCAGATGCTATTACTGGTTATACTAGCTAGAACTAATTTTCTGATAATGAGGATTTGGCCTGTTTCTCTCTCTGTCAGGTCCATATTATGTGCTGTACATACATAGGTTACCCACATCTGTATTTTTTGTCATCTGAGCTGTCTTTATAGCTGCACAGCTAGCAGTGACGTGCACCATTGCAAAGGTCTAGACATTTGATGTCCAAAAAAAAGGACAACCCAACAGCACTGAGAGCTTTCCTGTTGCGTGGCTCTGTGGCAATTCACTGATTCCTGTTGCAATGCTCTGACTCGCATCTCTGCAACTCTAACCCTGAGAAGGGTGAAGGGGAGCTTTTTCAGGAGTCTGACCCATATATCACTCCAGACTCAATATTGCAGGGCTGGATAGTCAGACTGTGATCTATGCCTAATGATTATTTAATGTTATATTTAGTAGACCGTGTCCAAAATGCTGAGCAGGAAACAGCTCCAACAAGGTTGTTTCAGCGGGACTCCGTAAGTTATGAAGAAGGGTGAACCCAGAGAAAAGCATAGCGAAACTGCCCTCTTAGGGCCCAGGCACCCTCCTGTCTGACATTTTCCTCCTTCCTAGACTATTTGTAAGAAAGTGATTTGTTGCTCGCATTTCCCCCACTGTTGTTTTCAGCTTCTGCAGTGGCACTGGAATGAACGCTAACACTTTTCCAAGTTTCTGACTTCATTAACAGCCCACAAAACTGGACTAGAGCCTATTGATTCCTGACTCTTTCTCTCTGAAATAAGTTTCTTCTGTTCATTTTTAGCTATAGCAAAAGCTTAAATCTCATTCAGATTTTGGTTTTAAGCAAAATTCTTTTTTTGGGTGGGGTATTTCTGGCTTTGGTTAGAAGAGCAGGATGACATTTAGCCTTAGTCACTCTGGTTTAACCATTACAGTCTTGCAACAAGGGGCTGTATCCAGCCTTGGGTTATTGACGCAAACCTAACACTTGGATGCTGATTCTTCACTAGAGTGATTTTTTGTAATACTGTAGGTCAGGTAGGGCACAGTTTTATATAACTGGAAATATATCAGTCTGTCAAGGTTAAGTTCCTGTGTGTCAGCTAGACAGGCATATTTTACATGTGCAGACAGAATGCTGAAACTCTGCTCATGTTGCTTAGCCACAGCTGTAGCTTCGTTTATTATCTAATTCTAAAAGGGGGACAACAGGCTGCTTGCAGTTATCACTTCTCTCTGTGCAGTTTACAAAAACTCTTTCTCAGACCAAAAAGCAAGCACATGAACCATACTTTATTTGAATTCCTGAGTTAAATAAGTGGCCACGAAACTCCATTGCGATTGGGGAAGGAAGCATAAACAAATTGATTAGATTTACTAGCCCAGTTCAACTTCTGGAAATCAAACTACAGAAAGAAAAAAAAAAAAAAAAAAAAGATAAGTAGAAAAAATATCCCCTCAGATAGCCTGTACTTTTTTCTTGCTTGTAATTAGATGCAATAAAAGGGTTCTGATTTTCTAATAACTGCTTTTCTCCAAAAGTAATATCTTTCAATGTGACTGAAAACATTATAGAGTTCAAATTTTCACAGCGAGTACGGTACTTGCTTTGTCTGTGGGATCCAAATGAAAAGCAGCTTGCTTTTCAGAGGGGTTTTAAGTTCCCACCAAGCAAAACGCTTCCAGAAATCAGTCCCTTTTAGCAAGATTCCTGAATATGAGCCTGGGTCCCAGCGTCAGGCTGACAAATTCAATCCTCCCACAATGAGCTCGTATTGCCAAAATAAGCAACTTCATTTTTAACAAGATTTTAAAAGTCAACAGCCCAGTGCCCCCTGCTGTCCAAGTTCGCTTACTAGCAGGTAAGAGTGACTTATTAAAAGGCCGCCTAACCACTATTCTTCTATTTAACTTCTGTGCTCTTACAGTCCCTTTTAAAAAGTCTGTTGCTACATTTTCAAAGTGGATACTGATTTTATATTCAACAGAAATTATGAGCCTTTCTTAATTCACTCTTCAAAATCTAACTGTGATTCATATCTATCTAAAACTGTTTGTGTTGAAAGCCTTTTTAATCATTCAGGTAGCCCTTGTGAGACAGGACAGTAAAATTCTGTAGCATTGAAAAAAGCTGCAGGTGTGACATTAAAGAGTTGAAGATCAAATAAATGCCAGGAATTCCTTTTAAAAAGCTTCTGCTTCTTCAACAGGACCTCACAATGGCTGTGGTGGTTACTTGACAAATTCATCTTATACCTTTGGCTCTCCAGTCTCCAATGTGACCAGAAGATATGAGAAAAATCTGGACTGTGTATGGATCATAACTGCACCTGTAAACAAAGTGATCAACCTCACCTTCACTTCATTCATGCTTGAAGCACAGTCTGCTCAGACTTGCCGATATGATTATGTCAAAGTAAGATAGCTGCATATTTTAATAAGAAAATATCAGTGAGATACAATCCATTATTCTCTCCATGAGGCTAGAACTTAATTAATAGAAAATGGTTTAATGAAGAAATTAAATTGCTTAATATAATTAGAATTTATTTTCATTGGGCTAGATTACTACTCTACATGACATCCTGCCTTTTTGGAAACAAATAAGAATTTTAACATTGTTATGGGAACACGCTTCTGGTCTTAGACTGCCTATATAAATAAGTGTTTCTTTCACAGAAAAAAAAAAAAAGTCAAGCACTTTGAAAGTAAACTTGCAGATTAATTATTGTACACAATTGCTTGAAAGGACATTAATTTACAAAATTTTTAATAAATAACTCTTGATGCTCAATACTCACCTGTGCAAGCTATTTTCTTGGAGATGAGCATACAAAACATAGGATAGCAGAACGCTGCTAAACAGGATCCAAAAAGGAGTGTTATAGATCCTGTTGAGCACTACAAATCCTCAGTGAAACTAGGAATTAATTCTACATTTTGGTGAATAGAATCAGTCTTTCTCATTGAAAAGTGCTTTGAGAGTACATATAAAAAATAAATCAGAATGCCCAATTAAAACAGAATAATTTTTTATTTGCTAAGACAGGACCAGAATGTTCCATAATGAGATTTACACTGTCCAACAGAATTACTTAATATGGCAGTGAATAATTATAGTCATCAAGAATATCCTGCTAAAGCACAAGAGGACCTACTGTGCTTTTAAGTAAAAGAAATTGCAGTGTCAGGAGGGGTCAAAGAAGTTTATTTCTATTTATCTGTTTGTTGTGCCTAAACTATTAGTGGCTTACATACTTTTCTTCTTTCAGCTTTATGATGGAGATAATGACAACGCCAATTTAGCTGGCACATTCTGTGGATCTACAGTGCCGGCTCCTTTTCTTTCCACACGTAATTCCTTGACCGTGAAATTTATCACAGACAATTCTGTGGAAAGGGAGGGTTTCAATGCTACCTACACCACAGTTGATCGTAAGTTAACATATGTATGTATGCATATATATTGTTGTGATTCTTTTGTGGAAATACATATTTAAATAATAAATAATCAAAATTTGTTCTAGATACAGTGCTCGGGAGGGGGCAAAGACAGTCCTTAGCACAACATCTATAAACAAGCTAAAAGCAGCACTGGTAGACCCCAGTGCAGTTCTCTTCGGTCTTGGCTGGTTGCGGGGTAGCTGTCAGTCTGGAGTGCAAAACAAGAGCACTCACAGATTGTTAACAAATGTGTTGACATTGTAGGGGACAAACATTTATTTGAGTTTTATGACATATATTGACACAGCATTAGCATGTGTTTTACTTTTTTTTTTCTTCTAGAGACTCACAGATAAATACAAAAGTATATTGTCCAGTGTAGTTTTGTTCAATAAATATTTTTTGCCCAGTTGGAAGAGTTTTCACTCTGTGATGCATTTATTACTGTTTTACACAGGACTGTGTGGAGGAATATATAATGCAACTTCTACATCCCTGACTGCAACATCTCCTAACTTCCCCAATGAATATCCACCATTTACTTTCTGTACTTGGGTCATTGATGCCCCTCCACAACAGCAAGTCAGGGTGGTGGTAGAGGCCTTCCACCTCCATTCTGGCCAGGACTGCTCTCAGAACTACCTAGAGCTCCAGGATTCACCAACAGTAAGAAATTTACAGTTGATACCATTCCCCATTCACTTTCAGCTCCCTTCACTCTTTTTAAAGAGAGGAGAAACCCCCCATTTGGTAATAGATGAACTGATGATTCTGTGTGAGGCCCACATCCAAAGCATTACGCACTGTGCCTCACTTAAGGTGTGTTAACTGGTACACAGACCTCGTGGAAGCACACTATACACACATTGAATTAGACCTGGAAGTTTTACACTATTTTTCACAGGTGCACCAAGTAACAGAGCTGTCAAACTTAACACCCATAAAATACTGCCCAACAGCTAGTTTTCATAAACTAGTTGTACTTCCTCCCATCCAAGAACCGTAATAAAAATGAATATTCATGCCAAGAAGAGTGTTTGTAAAAAGCACCAGAAAAAAACCCTGTTTATGTCCCTTGTATTATATTATCCTAAAACTCCTTTCATTGTTTCTTATTTTGGCATTAAAATACCTGTTAAATTTGATTTGGTTCTCATAATAACTTAACATAAAATGTTGATATGTTATTAAGTGATTTCCATCAGAAATTTAAAATGTGATGGCATAACTGGTATAGAAAGTGTTGAGAGATTTATCCACCGCAAGTTCAGTAAGTAGAAAACCGAATTATATCATTAAGTAACTTGTGACGTATTGAATTCCAGCACAGCCAAGGATCAGTCCATAGATTCTGTGGCACTGAAACTTTTCCAGTCCCTGAATTTTATTCTCATGATCGCACTGCCATTGTGACTTTCAAATCAGATGAATATATGTTTAATAACGGAGTCAGATTTACCTACCAAGCTACAGGTAAGATTGAAGAAATGTCTAAAAAAAATCTACCTACCATTTTCTTTGGTAGTGAAAAGCAAAACAGAGAATGCTTACATGTTTCTTGTTCTCTGTCTCAAGGTTGCAGCAGAGAGTATAACCAGCCATTTGGTTACCTGAGGAGCCCTGGCTGGCCTGGTCGTCACCCCAATAATATGAACTGCTCTATCGTTCTACGAGCTCCCCTGAATCACACAATTTCTCTTTTTTTCCATGCTTTCAATTTGGAAGACAGCATCCAGTGTTCACGGGATTTCCTAGAGGTATCAAGCAAGTATACCTATTTTGTGGGCCTTTGTCAAAACCTGCTGAATTCAAAGAATATTAATAAGCTTTGATCAAGTCTGAGCTGAACTGACATTAGGGACTAATTTATTACTACAGTTTTATGTTGAAAGATACGCAGATGTTGTAGTAAGAAGTTAAACAATACACACTATAGTAAGTCCAAAACCAATGAATAAATAGTTTCATTGTCAGCTAACTCATCTTTACCTAGCTCTTGTTGTTGTTACCCAGTTAACAGAGCAAGCTGGGATAGTTTTCATCTGATATTAATATCTGTGCGTGAACAGAAAGCCATAAATCTGAGTGCTTTCATTCAAGCAGTAGATTCCATCTGCTTGATATTTTTCTTTAAAAAAATAATTTTCTAAAAAGTATTTTTCGTTCTTCAGAAAAGGAGCTCTAGTAACAAATGTAGGATACGTGCAAAGGTACTTTGTGTCAATAAAAAGCATATCCTCCTACACAATCCTCACTCTGTCCTTTCACGTTTGTTGAAGGTTTCCCTAGTCACTGGTCAGATGACAAAAATCAGATGTCTGTGGCAGAATCATTATCTAGTTCTCCTTTCATATCCTCTTTACTGTCTCAAGAAACGGATCTGAGCACCAGCATTATTGGAACTCAGAAGAAAATCAGATTAAATCTGAGCTATGTTATATGATCTGTGTCTTAATGTGACCAGGGAAGAGTGGTCTGCAGGGTAAAGAAATAATCTTTTCATCTGGAATATTAACATTTCTTATGAAAAGTAAAACATGGGCTTGAATTGCAAAAGCACATCTTAGCTACTAGTCAAGTAATTTTTTCAGTCAGGAGAACTATCACACCATAAAATTTACCTACCTGTTTCTGACAATACCTGATCTGTGCAATTACTTACAGAACTCGGCCGGACTAGTTAACCATCTCTTTTTCCTTCTATACAAGAATATACAGTAAGAAAAATAACAGTATTAAAATTATAATTATGGTATACATCCAAGTCACTAGATAGTTTTTGTTGTGCTTGTATCACTGCATAATTGTATTGGTGTGTACTGGCACAGGGATTTAATGTTGACAATGTTTTTTGTGTCCCTTGAAGGTCAGAAATGGGAGTGATGTGCAATCACCACTACTTGGCAGGTTCTGTGGAAACACTCTGCCTAGTCCCATCTTCCCCAGAAATCATGTTGTGTACCTTCGTTTCAAGAGTGATTTTTCAGGGGCTCATGATGGATATGAAATTACTTGGACTTCATCATCAAGTGGTAAGGCTGCTATTACAAAGGAATCCCACTTAGCAATTGTACTCAGAGGGAAAATACAGAATTGTGGAAGTCAACCTGCTCAGTTTAGGCCTCATCAACACTTAAGACCTCACCAAGCACCCATAGTCCACCATATTCAGTCACTGGAGAGAGGCAGTTGTTCCTCGAGACCAGTGGGGCAAGATCCATTTTATGTGATGGAAGCAATTCCCTCACTCTGATGTTGATTTTAGCAGGCTTAGAGGATATAGTCCACTTAAGATGAAGACCTACCTCTCTGTCTGAGGTCAGAAAATATAAGGAACATCTATCTTGGGACCCACAGAGTGGTGGTTGTGGTGACTCAGACTATTCCATTAGTAGTCCAGTTGTGATATGCCCTAGGATCTAGGTACTGCTAAGCCTAAAGAATCACAGAATCACGGAATGTTAGAGATTGGAAGGGACCTTGAAAGATCATCTAGTCCAATACCCCTGCCGGAGCAGGAACACCCAGATCAGATCACACAGGAACGCATCCAGGCAGGCTTTGAATGTCTCCAGAGAAGGAGACTCCACAACCTCTCTGGGCAGCCTGTTCCAGTGCTCTGTCACCCTCGCTGTAAAGAAGTTTTTTCTCATATTCAAGTGGAACCTCCTATGTTCCAGCTTGCACCCATTGCCCCTTGTCCTATAACTGGATGTCACAGAGAAGAGCCTGGCTCCATCCTCCTGACACTCACCCTTTACATAATTATAAACATTGATTAGGTCACCCCTCAGTCTCCTCTTTTTTTTTCAGAGGCCTGAAATTTGCCCCAAGAAAATAACCTAACTGTAATGCTGTGTAGTGACTATATCATAGGCACACTCATAAATGGCTTATGAAATGGCAGTGAGTAGCTGGGTAATACTTTGCTCATGACACTAAGTTACTGAAGTAGGAAAGCTCATGGCCAGCTGAAAAGCACTGCAGAATAACCTTACAGTATTGAGTGGCTTGGTGATGAAAAGGCAGATAAAGTTCTGTGTAGGAAAGTGTTAATGAAGAAAATGGGGGAAAAAAAAAGACAATCCTAACTTTACTTACAAAAATATGGGCTCCAAGTTGACTTCTAGTACTCAGCAACAAGATCTCATGGATAAAATAGTTCCATGAAAACAAGAGGTCGCTGCTCACAAATAGTCAAGATGGCTAGCACAATGTTAGGAATTGTTGGGAAAGGAAGAGAAAACAAATAGACAGCCACTGTGTAAATGTTCACTCATAGTTCACATACAAATTGAATGATGTGAACAGTTCTGGTCTCCTATTCTTATAAAGAATCCAGTACAACTAAGTACTCAACATAAAAAATGGCTTCTGTATGAGGTATGCTGAGACTTTTAAATCTGATTAGTAAACCACAGAGGTTTATAAAATTGAGTGATATTGGATGATAAATAGGGATCAAGTGTTCATTGACTTTTCCCATAGGAGAACTAGAGGCCAGCAGATAAAGGCAGAAGGTGGTAGGTTTAAAAAAAACTAAACAAACCAGTTCTTCACACAGTACGCAGTTAATCTGTGGAGCTCCTTCCCACAGGATGCTACAAATTTACATGGATTCAAGGGCTACCTGAACAAGTTCATGGAAGACATCTGATAAAGACCATTAAATAAAAAGATGTCATCCTTGGGAGCTGTGAGCTGAAAAGTCTTGGAGACTGTGAGAGTAATCTGGGGCATGATCTGTACATGCTTACTCTTACTCTGTAAATTTGCATTTCTCCCAGGACACCTGCTTCTGCCTACTGCTGGAGATTGCATTTTGGTATAAATGCCCTTTAGTTTACTTAATATGAGTATTTTCTCTTGAGTTGTTCTCTGTATTTTTCTATCAGATGAGGATTCACTACTTCTAATTCCAAAGAACAACCAAAGAAAATTTGTCTCTAGTTGAGTATTCAGGAACTGAACTGTCAACGGCACAGACTTAAGACTTTGGTTCCTGTTTCAAAGAGGTTTGGGGGTTTCGATTTTTAGTATCCAGTGGTGGTGTAATGCCCGTTGCATACTCTTCTCAGGCTGCTGAAGCTAGAGCTTCAGTTTTGTCTCTTATTGGAGTAATGGTCTTATCCACATTCATTGTTCCAGCTCCCAGCATCTCTCTGTTTTTCAGTACTACTACTAATACTGTACTAATGTACTACATCATGTAGTATCTTGTGAAACTAAGCCTTCTAAGCTAATTAACAGTGCCTGTTTCCAGGATGCGGAGGAACACTATACGGCAGCACTGGCTCATTTGCTAGTCCCAGCTACCCAGCTACTTACCACAACAACACCGATTGTGAGTGGGCCATTACTGTGCCCAAGGGACGAACTGTCACAGTGAACTTTGATTTCATCAGCATCGATGACCCAGGAGACTGCAGTAGCAACTATCTGATCCTTTACAACGGGCCAGATGCCAGCTATCCCCCAGCCGGGCCATACTGTGGCATGGTATGTATTGCCTACTGGTTGTGACCCTGTAAGTGGTTAAAAGGAATTGTTACTGTTTCATACTCAAGACTGTTTGCCCAATTCTGCCATGAATTCCACATAGATGAGTGGAAGTGAAGGCGTAAGGCACGTGGCACCTTAGAAGCCTTCCAATGCAAACCTTACAGTGACATCTAGTGGGAGGCATCAAGTTGTATTTGTGATTTAAATATTTGTGATTTTATTTGTGATTTAAATATGTGTAATCCCCTGAGGGAGAAATGCAACAGCAGTATCTAGCACAGACCTGAGGTCACTTCCCATCTATGATCCAATTTGTGCAGCAGTTTTAACTCTCTGACTGGCTTTTACAAATTATCTTAATGTTCTATAAAGCTTTTCTTTTTTCTTGTCTTTAATTTTAGGATACAAACATCGCTCCATTTACTGCTACATCTCATCAAGTCTATATAAAATTTCATGCTGAATATGTGACTTTACCATCAGGATTCCAGTTAAGCTGGACGAGCTAGAACACTGTTTATGAGAACTATATTACCACTCCTTGCTATACTGAAGAGACTTTAGATCATAAAGTAAGTTCAAAATCCGGTTATAATAATTGCATCTGAAGTAAGGCCTTTTAAAAATCACTGTAAGCGCAGATGTTATGAATTTAGAGTTCTGACAAAAAAATGTGATCTCCATTTGTACTGAAAATAAACTATTATCTACCCAATTGGGAAAATTAGTTTCTGATAGTTTTTGAAACATATTTTTATATTCTTCTACATGATTTCAAAGTTTTACATTTTATGCTATAAAAAGTGAATTAGCCAGGATAAAACTTAAACACAAAATATTCAACATGAAGTTGATAAGAGGACCTAAGATATGAAGTTGTCGTTAATTAGTTCTGTAGAGTTCTGTGGTTTTGCCTCAATAATCTTTGAAACATTAGCTAAAGTTTTATTCAAATTAGAATAAAATCAGAAATTGCTAAAAAATGGTCCCTGTCCTACAACCACTTACACAGATAACTTTGCTGAAGAACTTTCTGTAATACTTCACATTGGGTCTAAGAAACCAGCTGAGTAAGTGCTCAAGCATCCACTTGAGTTTAACACAGTAAGGACATGCTGTGGTACTAAAATCTTAACCACATTAGGAAGTAATAATGTCAGGATCAGAGCCCTATGTTCAATATACACAAATATATGTGATTATATTTATTGAATTATATCTTCAAGCTTCAAAATATATTTTACAATTGAATATAAAAATTTGTGAGAATTTTAGTAACTGTGTCACGTTCCTAGTCTGCTTGTAGGCAATTTCCTAGACATTTATAAAACAGATATAGCTAAAGAATAGGGCAGACATAAAAATATGAACTGACTTTTGACAAGAATTAGTTTTTCCCTTCCCCAGGCTAACATACATCAAACATAAAAAATGTTGTTGACAGGGTATACAGACAAAACTTATTCCCACCCCAAAACATTTTTTGTCACAACCCATAATGAATGACCAATTCGTTTTCTGAACGTCACCTGTGATGGACAAGAGGTAAGAGGAATTCACACTGCAGCAAAAGGTCATGGACCTCATCAGAACTCCCACTTCATAACTATTACAAAGGGTCACTCACAGTGAAAGTATTTCCTTAGCATGATTGTTGCAATAATTAATTATGAAATGACATTAAAGTGTTAGAATCATAGAATGGCTAGGGTTGGAACGGACCTTAAAGATCATCTAGTTCCACCCCCCCTGCCATGGGCAGGGACACCCTCCACTAGACCAGGTTGCTCAAATCCTAATCCAGCCTGGCCTTGAACCCCTCCAGGGATGGGGCATCCACAGCTT